ATCACCTCTGTTTAACCTCCCTGGCGGTATGATTATTTTATTTTTCCTTTTTTGTTCTGTTTTTCAATTTTTTTTAACTTTTACAATTCCCGCCGGTTCCGCCCCCCTGTGACGCGGACGCTCGCAAGGGACGGAACCCGGAAGACAGATGCCGGCATCGGCCGGAGGACACAGCGGGGATTGTGGACAAGGCAAGAGATGCTATGCTGTAATCCCGAGTGTGGCTCAGGGTTATCATTTATGGTACTGAAAATTAACCCCGAGCCACGCTCGGGAATACCGGCAGGGAGGTTAAGTCATAGTCCCTTTAAGGGGATAACAATAGAGGTTGGTCTGAATATTCTGGCCTTGAAAGGGTTAACCTAACTGCTGGGGAGTGTCTTAAGAGGGCAGGAGCCAGTCACCAGGTGTCTGTGAGGTGTGTATGGAGCAGGACACATGTCTGTGATGAGCTGTGGACTGTGTGCTGTGTGCTGCCTAGTCCCTGCTGGGCATCTGTGTCCTAGATAAACCCCCTGCGAGCAGGCTGGGACAATAGCTCAGGGATGAGACAAATGTATACAGGCGGTAAGCCAAACTTTGAGTTTTACTGGTTAAGTTCTAGTTTTTGTTTGCTGAAGAAAAGCTGTTTATGTTTGAGAGTTTTGAAGAAATTAAAGACTGTTGTTTTACTAGCACGGCTGCCTATTGAATTCAATCGTTCTAAATATTACTTAATATGTACAGTATACAGTATATCTCTTCTATAGATATTGTAATCTGTAATTGTCATTTTCAAAATAATAATAAAGGATAAAATAGTAATTAGTTTAAAAAGTATATAAAAGGTACATAGAGGGGAATTTATAAAAACTGAAGCAAACAGAATCTAGAGCAGTTGCCCATGGCCAATCAGCATCTCTCTTCAGTTTGCTCAGGTAAGATTTGAAAATTAGAGAGAAGCTGATTGGCTGCAGTGCAAATCTGCTCCAGATTTTGTCTGCTCCAGTTTTGATAAATTCCCCCCATAATGTTTTAGCAGTCGAATTGAAAATTATTGATGAAAATTCAAACAATTTGTAAAGATTTTAACCCCTAACGTCTTCTTAAAGATGTTGCCTGAATTATATTACAATAGGGCTGGTAGGTGTTAAGGTGTCATTATATTTTGCCTATATCTCCATGCATATGCAGTATCCACCAGTCATATGCCCCATGCATGCAAAGTAGTACTTCTGCTGAGATGCATGGAATGATGTTTAAGTCACTCCCATGCAATGTAGCTAGCAATATGGAAGCAAGATAAGATGTTAGAGAACCGACACGATGCAGAAATACCATCAGAAATATGGTGGTCAGACCTTTCCTGACTGCTCCCCTCTGCCTATCCTGCTCTTTTAAGATTGGGGAACACAGCATGTTGTCATTTTGTATGGCTCAGCTGGCATTGTTTTGTAACTGGTACCCCCTGACATATTCTGACTCAACTAAATTTCAGCTGCAACCCCCTCACTACCACATCTGAACCCCCACCACTGCACCCAGGGCAGCCATCAGAAATTTCAGGGCCCCCTACACGGCTTTAGGCCACCACCACCCCCCGTTCCGCCCGGTCCCCATGGTCCCCCCCGCACCGTTATTATT